CACTGCAATGTCCCACCAGGACCACGTGCTCCCAGGACCGCAGCATCTATGGTGGGTCTGTGTCACGTAGGAGTCAGAACAACCGTGTCATGGACTTCTGCAAACCAAGGCAGGTTCTGGAAGGGCTCGCGGGGCACTCGGAGAGGCTTTTACCGCAGGCTTCACAAGGAGGTCCTGGGCCTTCATCTGTCCATACCTGGCCTGGCTTGTTTCCTGATCTGTACGAGGGAGTAACGGCACCCCACAGAGAACACGTGAGGGTCCACGGCACCCCACGTAGAACAGTGGTACCATTAATGTGTTTTGTATTTCAAAAGCAAGAAAGTTTTTATTCTCTTATAAAATCAAGAAAAGCTTAATATTTGACAGTTCTGTTTCATTTAAAAGAGGAAAACAGCTAGAGTACAGACCTGAGTGGAAGAACACACTGAAGCATCTGTCCCAGGCAGTCTGAGCTCCCAGACTGGGGAGCCGTGCAAGCATCTCATAGTAACCCCTTTTTTTTTTCCATAAAAAAGCACATTTGCTTAACCACTTCAAACATGGTAAGAATAATTTTTCTTTCTGGCAGCAAAGCCAGTTACTCAGCAGCTACTCAGTAACCAGCAGCAGTGCAGAAGGCACCCTCTGCAATTCCCTGCGTCAGAACGTCGGCCCCTGTGGAAGCACTTCCGACTGTGGGTCCCAGACAGGACTCTAGCAGCTCACCTCACCATGAGCATGAGCGTGGGCAGGGCCAGGTCTCTGCCGCCCAAACTTAGAGGGCGTCCTCAGACTCCCGTCCTCAGGATCGAGGGCAGCAACCCTTTTTTGTATGAGAACAGCCAGATCAAACTGAAGTGCAGAAAAACAGACCCCAGGAAAGCTATTGCTGCCAGGAGTCAAAAGGGGAAGAATTTGCTTTATACTTAATGAATTCAGGAAAAAAGAAAATGTCAGCCTGAACTTGAGAAGTTAGGGCCGGCCTGCCGCTGACCAGCAGGGGTGCAGGGCCACGGGTGCAGCGGTGGAAGCTCAGGGACAGGGCAGCAGAGAGCTTCTCCCTGCATTTAAATGAAGGGTTGACTTGGGTAAGTTTTAGTTCTCAAAGTATAAATGTAACCTTTCTCCCTGGCATTGTTTCCAAACAGAAAACACACTTTTCATAGAATTTAATTAGATAAATACGAACCTTTAAAATTACTAAATATATAAAAGAGCAAAGGAAGGTGACAACAGAATTAACATTTGCTAAAGCAGCAAATTCCACGCGGCTTGTTACAGACACGGGGTTCCTGGCTAGCACCATCCGACCCTGATGTGGCTCGGCAGGTCTGGAACTGAGAACGGCTGAGAAACCTGCTTTGTTTGCTGGTCCGTCATCTCTTTCAGCCCAGAGAAGGCTGGCTGTTACCCCAGGGGAAATGCCAGCTCTGGGTCATGAGGGCCCTGCTGAGCGTCCCCTCCCAACCCAGGAGGGTGTGCATGGAAGCCATCGCTGCATGGGGTGTCCCTGTGGGCTGCTTTGTGACCATCATCGGGCATGGCCCCACCTTCGAGGAGGAGCCTACTCTGGGGGGCACACCTGTGGACAGCGGGTCTTTCAGTCCCGGTGGCCCGTGTCGAGCCCCATCTCTGGAACGATGGTCAGTATCGGTTCCTCCCATGTTTATGACAAGCCATGTGGAACTGGCTTTTCTTGGGAAAATCCACTTTGTATGCTGTGAAGATATACAATGTTTGAATGTAAAAAAAGAAAATTTTAAATATTAAAAAAAGTTTAACGGTGAATAAAAATGTTGAAATAAAGACACTTAGAGAAAAACATAAAAATAGGAAAAGACAGGGAACCAGCAGTTAGCGTAATGGCTATGTCGCTGGACTCCCACGTAGTCGACCGCGGTTCGTGTCCTGGACCCGGTGGCTTAAAATTCACGCCGGGCGCGTGTGCGTGCGTGCCCAAGATCCTGAGAGGAGAATGGAGAAGGGATTGCGGCGTGACCATCCCCCCTGGGGGGTGATTTCTCGCTTTCTGTCTCTATGTCTCTCTCTGTCTGTCTGGCGAGCGCACACGCCCTATAGTGAAAACCTCTCAAAAAAAAAAAAAAGGAAAAGACAGACCCCGCTCTTCAAAGAACAGAGGATGCTGAACCCGGGTGCCTGTGCAGTCAGGCTCTGTCACCTCTGACGTGCCCGCTCGACCCATGGAGGCTGGTGGCTGCCCAGGGGAAATGCCAGCTCTGGGTCACGAGGGCCCTGCTGTGCCTGTGCTTCCGGTCCCAGGACACCTTCCCCAGGCTGCACTCCCCCCTCAAGGGCAGGATGGGCCGTGTCTGATGATGGTCACAGAAGCAGCCTGTGGGGACATGTGGGGACAAACTCACAGCACCGATAGCCTGGTGCACACTTATGCAGCCAGGCGAGGTTTGGGGAGCCGGCTGGGCCCCGAGTCCGACCGCGAACACTGCATGGTGAAGTCTGTCTTCTGCAGCTGGGCTGTAGGTTTCTGCCGTAGGGCGTGTGCACACACTTGCCAAGAGAGACAGAGACAGTGAGAGGGAAAGTGAGAGATCATCCCAGGGTGTTTGGACACACCACAATCCCTTCTTGTGGGCACGCACACACATGCGCCCGGCCTGACTCTCCAGCCACTGGGTCCAGGACTTGAACCGTGATCAGCCATATGGGAGCCCAGCAAGGTGACCGCTATGCTCTGCTGGCCTTGGCATTTGTTCTTCAAAACAGTCTCTGCTGCAGGGCCTGTCAGAAAACAGCCTCACTGCAGGTGGGAGGGAGCGCGGGGGAGAGCTGACGAAGGGTGTTCCTGCATGGGTGAGGCTGGAAACATGGGCTTGACTAGTTTTAAAAAGTATGTTTAAAGCTCCATTTAAAAAAAACAAAGTACCTTCTGCACTCGGTCCGCTCTTCTCCATCATTCCGCACTCATGGCTGGTGCGTGTGCACACGTGTGCTGATTCTGTGAGGAAGTCTACAGAAATGTTTTTGTTTCCCATCCAGAAGCTGACAGGAAGAGCAGGGCGTGAGAGAAGAGGGTGATGAACAAGGACAGCAGAAGAGGAAGGCACACATGACACCATTATTTTTCTTACTTTAAAATTGGAATAAGAATTTAAAAACATGTCCCCGTGGAACCTGTCCTCCTGGAGTCTGTCCATCAGCTCCCACCTCCCGGGACACCCCAGCGTCTGCTAGAGCGTCAGGGCCGGCCCGTGCTCCTCCACGCCGCCCGGGGGCAGGGCCAGGCCGTGGCGGGGGTCCGCCTTCAGGGAGCTGAGCAGCCGGTGCATGCTGCCGGCGCTGTCCCGCCCTGCCCCGCTCAGGGCCAGGTCCCGCTGCAGTCTGTGGGCCAGGCCGGCGCCATTGACCCGGGAGAGGCTACCTGCGGGTGTGCCTTGTGCCCTAGGCACACGTGGTGGCTCGGGAGCCCCCTCAATGACGATGTCCACCTCCTCGTCGCTCTCCATTTCGTCGGGGTGGATGTTGTGCAGGGCGTGGGCGGCCGGCAGGCTGTGGTGGCTGGTGGTGC